CTTAATAAGAGCTAACCTGGAAGCTCAAATTTGACAGTTGTCACAGTCTCCCCCTGTTAGAGAAATTTCGTCCCGAAATTTAACGACTGCTACTGCCAATGGATTTCTCTGCAAACAAATGCGGATATTTACCTATCATGAAATCTTCTGGTTCCCAAGTGTACTCTGGGCCATGTTTCTGCTTTCCAGCAGACCTTAATAATAGGAATTTTACTGCGCCTCAACCGTTTAACTTCTCGATCCAATATCTAGATTGGTTCTTCGACGAAGTGTAACCGATCGTTAATCTGAACGTCGTCCAGGGGTAACACTATTGTTTCATCCGTTAGGCATTTCTTCAGATTCGACACATGGAACGTGTCRTGGATGGCGCTTAGATTTTGTGGTAATTTCAACTTGTACGCCACTGGTCCGATTCTTTCGAGTATTTTGAATGGACCAATGTATCTGGGACCCAGCTTGCCTCTCTTCTTGAAACGTACTAGTCCCTTCCATGGCGATACCTTTAAAAGTACTTTATCCCCCACTTGGAATTCTAACGGATTTCTCCGATTATCCGCATAACTCAACTAACGGTCTCTTGCTGTCTTGAGTCTCTCCTTGATGATTGAAATCTTGTCGGTGGTTTCCTGAATAATATCATGCGTTGTCAACTGTCTATCTCCGATCTCTACCCAGCTAAGCGGCGATCTGTATTTACGTCCGTATAGAGCTTCGTACGGTATACATTGTATGCTGGTGTGATAGTTGTTGTTATAAGAGAATTCAACAAGGGGCAGATGGGTATCCCAACTCCCACCAAAATCTATTGCACACGCACGCAACATATCCTCAAGCGTTTGAATAGTTCTTTCYRATTGYCCATMTGTTTGAGGATGATAGGCGGTGCTATAATCCAGGCGCGTACCCAATGCCTTTTGAAGAGACCGCCAAAATCGTGATGTAAAACGTGTATCTCTATCCGAAATAATGGAAATAGGCATACCATGATGTGTAACTATTTCATTGATGTAGATTTGTGCACGCCTTTCCATGCTGAAATCTTCGTGAATGGGAATGAAATGAGCTTATTTGGTAAGTCGGTCTACTATAACCAATATAGTATCATGCCCCTTTCCAGTTCTGGGTACCTTAGTTATGAAATCCATGGTTATTTGCTCCCATTTCCATTGTGGTATTTCAGGTTGCTGCAGTAGACCAAATGGTTTCTTATATTCAACCTTTACCTTGGCACAAGTCAAGCACTTGCTTACGAACAAAGCAATATCTTTCTTCATTCCTGGCCACTAATAATACTCTTTCAGATCCTTATACATTTTATCTGCTCCTGGGTGAATCGAATATCTGGATCGATGGGCTTCGTCCAAAATAGTTGATCGTAGGTAACCAACCTTTAGTATCCATACTTTATTCTTAAAGTAATACACCCCATCTGCTTGCATTTCAAATTCTTTCTCTAAGTGCTGCAAGGTTTCATTCTTCAGGTTTTCTTCTTTCAGAGCTTCTTCTTGTGCTTCCAGAATTTGAGTCTTTAAACTCGTCTAAACCAACATTCCCATAGCACGTGCTATTGTCGGTTTTACCCTTTCCTTTCGACTTAAAGCATCGACTACTACATTAGCCTTGCCTGGATGGTACTTTATTTCACAATCGTAGTCACTAAGTAGCTCAACCCATCTTCTTTGCCTCATATTGAGCATTTTCTGGTCAAGAATATGTTGAAGGCTCTTGTGATCCGTGAAATGCACTTAGTACCGTAGAGATAATGTCTCCAGATCTTGAGTGCGAACACCACCGCTCCTAGGTCCAAATTATGAGTAGTATAATTCTTCTCGTGAATCTTCAGTTGTCTCGATCCATATGCGATAACTTTTTCCTTTTGCATCAGTACACATCCCATCGCTTGATGTGAAGCATCATAATAGACTAAAAAATTCTCTACTCCCTCTAGTAAGGCCAAGATCGGTGCATTGCATAACTTGTGTTTGAGTGTCAGAAAGGCTTCCTCTTGTTTCTCTCCCCAAATGAACTTCTTATCCTTTTGGGTTAGAGTTGTTAGTGGTTGCGCGATCTTAGAAAAATTCTCGATAAATCGCCGGTAATAACCTGCCAATCCAAGATTTTGGCGGATCTCGGTTGGTATCTTCGGGGCTTCCCATTTCTTAATGGCCTCAATCTTAACTGGATGAACTTGGATTCCTTTTTCATTCACCACGTGGCCAAGAAAGTGCACTTCACGAATCCAAAATTCGCATTTAGAGAATTTGGCATACAACTTTTCGTTTTTAAGCAATTCCAGTATCAGTTTTAAATSTTGCTCGTGCTCCTTTTTGTCTCGAGAATAAATAAGTATGTCATCTATAAAAACGATCATGAACTTGTCTAAATACGGTCGACATACTCTATTTATCAAATCCATGAAGACTGCTGGTGCGTTTGTTAGACCAAAAGCCATAAGTAGGAACTTGTAATAAACGTAACGAGTCCTAAACACTGTCTTGGGAATATCCTCTTCTCGCACTCTCATTTGATGATATACAGACCTAAGATTGATCTTCGAGAACTATGTAGCTCCTTGAAGTTGGTCAAATAGGTCATCAATCTGGGGAAGGGGGTATCGGTTCTTAACAGTCAACTTGTTGAGTTCTTTATAATCGATACACATTCGAAAAGATCCATCCTTCTTTTTGACAAACAAAACTGTAGCTCCCCAAGGTGAAGAGCTGGGTCTGATGAATCCTTTATTGAGTAATTCCTGAAGTTGTTACGACAGCTCCTTCATCTCAGATGGTGCTAACCGATATGGTGCTTTTGCCACGGGTGCAGCCCCAAGAATTAGTTCTATGTGGAACTCAACTTGTCTTGGTGGGGGTATTCTAGGCAATTCATCTGGGAATACTTCAGGAAAGTCTCCAAGTATAAGAATATCTTGAACGCGTTTTTCTTCAGCTTTCCTATCCATAACTTGAGCTAGAAAGGCAATGCAGTTTTTTCTCAAATATTTTTGCATCTTCAAACACGTCACTAGTTTAATACCCCTTCTGGGTTTCTCTCCGTGTACTTCGAGTATTCCCCCTTCGAGAAACGGAATTCGAACGATCTTCTCGAAACAACTCATTTTAGCTCGGTTCTTGGATAACCAATCCATGCCCACAATTATGTCAAAACTTTCTAGTTGGATCGGGATTAAATCTATATGAAAATCCCTACCAGTCAAGTTTAAAGTGCAATCCATTATTACGTCTTTGGCCTTACACTCTTGACCGTTGGCATATTCAATGATGTATACKTCKTTCAACTTTTGAGGTCTTAGATTTATTTTTGGTCTAAAATCTAATGACACAAAACTCCTATCCGCTCCAGAATCAAATAGTACAGATACGTAATGATTATTTCAGAGAAACGTACCTGTAACTACATCTGGATTCTGCCTTGCTTCCTCAGCTCCAATCTCAAACACTCGGCCTCTTGCCGGACCTCCTTGATTCCTTTGGTTGGCTGGTCATGCTTGGTTGGTGTTCGGTCTTTCGTTCCATCGTGGACATGCATTCCGAAAGTGATATGGGCTTCCACACTGGAAACATGCCCGCCTTCCTGTGCTCCTGCAATCTTTGGCATGGTGACCTCATTTGTTGCATTTTTGATAGATAATACATCGTCCGGCATGCTGCTTATTGCACTTCTCACACCTTTGATAAGTTCTTTTCTCCTTCTCTGCTGATTGAGTCTGAATCCCGTAGTTTCCAGATATTTTCAGAGCCTTTCTCATTCTTCCCCCAGACTGCCTTCGTGTAGGTTCCTCCATCTTTCTCTTCCCTGAAGCCTTATCTTTTACAAACATTCCCAAACGAGTAGCATTGTTGGTGAGTTTGGTTGCCAAACTTACTACCTCTTGTAGGGTTTTTGGGTTTGCCGAAGTAACATCCCTGCCTAAAACCGGAGATAATCCCCAAATATATCTATCAACTCGATTCTCTTCAGCGTCACTAGATGTGGTACCAATTTTGCCAACTCATGAAAACATGCAGTATAAGAGTCTATATCATTTCCTCTCATTTCATAATTCCATAATTCTGCTTCCAGTTTCTGGATCTCGCTTCTTGGACAATACTGTTCTTTCATCATCCTCTTAAAATCTTCCCACGTAAGACCGTTGGCGGCTTCTCGGCCCCAAGTTTGTACTTGGGTATTCCACCAAGTTAATGCTCGTCCTTGTCATAGACATGCAGCGAACTCTACTTTCTTCCTTTCAGTACTTCGCTAATATGGAGCACATACTCCATGCTCTCTAACCAAGTCAGTAATGCCACGACTCCCTCAGTCCCGTGAAATTCCTTCGGATTACAACTCCTAAAGGATTTGTACGTACATTCTCTATTTCCCGACCCTTGATTGTTGTTTTGATTATTATTCAGGTCGGCTGCCACTTGGCTAACAATGTTTGGAAGTGCAGCCATGAGTTGCTCGGATACAAGTCGTGCAACTTCGGAATCATCCCTTCTCGGAGGCATTGTTCTAAAACGTAATTTTAAATTGGGTTTTGGTCAACTTATGTTACTATGGCCATTATAAATCTACTTACTAAATCATACGTATCTTATAACATACATCTAACATTATTCATGAAAACATATATTCCAAAACAACATGCGACAAATAGATAACATGCATAAATTTCATAAATAGCCAAAGCAAACCAAACATAAGTTTTAAAATACAACCCAAAAGACATTAAATTGTTTAAATTTCAACATATAGGCTACAAGCCCCAAAAGAAGGTATTATCCACCCAATAGTTTCAAAATAACGAGAGTTCCCTAACGCATTAACACCCTAATCAATATCCCTATTATCATCACCCAAGCTCCTACCGCCCAAAACAAGTACGCGTACAATCTTCGAATTGTCCTCCTAGTCTGGAAAACGACCTCCATAATCCCCGTAGTAAGATCATCCTGTGTGAGCAAGACTGTAAAAATGCCGTCTAAGGACTGCGGGACATGATCAAGTGTATGATGGTGGGACTGTAACTGACTGCTCAAGCCTGAGACACAAAAATTTTCCACTGCAGTCATGCCCCGAGGCTGTGGCACAGGAACTCCAATTGTTGGGGGAGGAGGGGTCTTGCTCCACGATCGGGACTGCGATCCGGCTGGCTCGCTCAGAGGCTCGGAGGGAACTGCGATAGTCACCCTCCAGGGAGGGAGAACACGTTATCGGGCGGTTCTCATGATCCTAGGTCCTCGCGACGGACCATCCACATCGACTGGAGGTGGCGTAGGTACAGATGATTCAACAGAAGTCTCTTGGGTGGCCGCGTCACTTTCCTCGGACGAGTCACTCTCTTCACGGACGGGTTGGTTTCTCCTAGGGAGGCTGGTAAAGTAATCGGATTCGTCCGGGGAGTGCTCAGGGAGTGAGGATGAGTGAGACATTTTTAAACTGTGACAATAACAAATTTAATTACTAACTGTACTTAAGTAAATAATAATTCATAAAATGAAAATACTCATGCAACTCACAATTTATGCTTTTCCTTTGGGCAAGAAATTTTTATTTTAGCCGACTTCCAATATAACTGTTCCTTGTCCCTCCTTAAACATATTAAATTAGACATAGGTGATCAGTCTTTGCCTAATTATAATATGCTAAGTCAACACTTAGTCCAATTATACCAGTAGTAAGCTTTTTTTTAATTAAATAAGTTTAGAAAATAATTTTTTTTTAAATCACTTGGTTATAGTATTTGGTTTTAACAGAAAACCGGTGTTCTCTATAACCTATGGCTCTGATACCAAGTCTGTCACACCCCGCTAAAGCGGAAACACGAGGAGTGACAGTTCAAGATTTCACAGCGATAGGGCGAAAACAACACAAATTGTCCATTCAAATACATAACATAATAATTTCAAATTCAAATTGCAAACCTGCTAAGACTTGTCAAAATAATCAATCTACTGTCAACTGTAAATCAGTCACCTGGTTGCTGTTTTAGTTCACAAAATCGCAAACACAAATATAAACCTGCTGCTTCTTTCTTCTCTACACCAACACAGCACAAATTGAAGCAGTTGCTGTTAAAACTTGCTGTTAAAACTGTTGGTGTCAAAATAAAAAATTTATGCAGCTACTAAAACAGTCTGCTGTCAACTGTGAAGCTGCTGTTTTGAATCTTGTAGCTGTTAATCTGGTACTAGCTAGCAGCAGCAGCAACAATCAACTAGCCAACTGTGTTCAGCATGCATCAATAGAGATCTGATGATGCTGTCTTCTCTCGATTACCCTTTATCACACCTAGGCTGCTGTTCTAAACTGTACTCTCAAGTCTGCTCAAAACTATCTAAACCTGCTGTACACAAATCTGATCAAACAGCAAATTTAGTCAGACTACAAACATACAACAAAATCAGCTCAAAGAACAATAAAAGCTTTTGATCGTCACTCKTTGATTYTTCTTCTATGAACTAATYTGAAACAAATAATGCAAAGATCAAAAATGTCAAATCCAAACACCTTGATTCAAGCAACAGTTAGACCAAGAGATACAACTTGAATAGATGCAAAACTTTATAAATGCAAAGAACCTGCAGTTGTGAACCTGCTGTGAAGTTGCACACTGTTTTAAACCTTCAAAAACTTGCTGCTGCACACTGCTGTTACCAACACAGCAAACACAATCCCAAAGTGAAGCTGCTGTTTAGCTGTTTTGTTGTTGCTGCTGTTGAACAGTAGCTGTTGTTTCAATTCTTGGAGCTGTGTAAATCTGTTACTGCTTGAAGCTGTCAAGATTTAAACAACTTGTTGCTGCTGCTGTTTCTTGTTGCTGTCAAAACACAGCACAGCACAGCTGCTGTTTCTGTTTCAGCTTCTGTCAAGATATTTGCTGCTGTTGTTCTATCCAAACACAAACAGTCACAAAATCAATGCTAAACCAATGCAAAACCAATGTTAGCTGCTGTTTTAAAATGTTGTTTCTGCTTCTTCAACCTGCTGTGAAGCTACTGTTTATGTAAATTCTAAGCAATCTCCAATCAATTTATGAAAATTCGATGATAAAGCAATCGAACAATCAAAACAATTTACATCAACAAATATCAAACCACATGAGTCTAACTTGAACCTGAGCAATCGAACAATCTATGCTGTCAAATTGATCCAAAACAGAACTTCAATGGACAGTCCAGCAGAAACAAAGAACTCACAAATAGGGGTCAATTGATTTCGATAAAATGAACCAGATACAGATTAATTCAAAATCAAACAGTGTGACAAGGAATTCTAGAATGAAAAACAGACAAATATCGTGTGATTGTATTAGATCACAACTACAAACCTGTCCAAAATCAAACCTGTYGAATGGAACAGCAAGATATTTGAGATGAAACCTAAATCGCTCAAGTTATTTGAGATGAAAAATTAGACTAAAAAATTGAGCGGTTTAGAAGTCCGGACARAACATACCTATGCACATCATCTCTAAGTCCACTAATCCGCTCACTGCTTGAGCTAATCCGCTCAAAGGTTGATCGGTTTACGCTAAATCTGAGATGCTTACCGAATCAGAGCTCTAATCCGGTAAAGTGGTGACCGGTTTACATGAACACCGGACAAGGCTTCTGCGGTTTATCTCTTCTCCGAGTAAGACTTCTCGGGTTTATCCTCTTCTCCGTTCAACTTTCAAGAGATGTGTGGTGAAGATGAAAACCGATTGAAGATGAATACTGCTTAAATGTAAATGAAACATGTGATTTGTTCTTTCCAATCGAGATGCAGATATATGAGATTGAAGCCTGTGGCCGGACTCTTATCCGGATTGGCCAAAAATGGACTTAAGCCCAAAAAAAATTAAGGGTTTAAACCGGATAAATTTTGACGGTTTAACAAAAAAAACAAAAAAAAAATTAAAAACAGATCAAAAACACAAAAACTAAAAGAAATTTAACAAAAATTGGATCAAAAACACTAACATTTTTAAAAAAATTAAGAACACTAAAAAAATTTAAAAACACAAAAAACCGAATAATTCTTGAAATTCAGTGATCAAATCATAAAACTTTGTGAATAACAAAGATTCACAATGTAATTTCGAGCATTTTGATYCTGTKTTTAACACAAAAACACAAGAATTTTATGAAAAATTCGGATCAAAAACAAAGAAAAAATTAAGAACACCAAAAAAAAATCCAGAAAAAAAATTCACTTATCTTGAATGAATCTGATTTCTTTAATCTAATT